TCTCTCTCTCTCTCTGCCTCTCTCTCTCTCTCTCTCTCACACACACACACACACTGCATTCACTTGGTTCCTAAATTTTTAGTGCCCTCACAATATTCCTGTGGCCTCACCCTAGTCGAGAGACCTTGCTAATATCAGAAGTGACAAGAACGAGCAAGCTTGACCAGGCTCAGAGTTAGATCCACCGGCCCCTCTTTAATTGCGTGCATGTCAGAGACCCGCGCGGTGTGTCAATCGGTCAGTCGGGTAGTGAGGCCGGTGGCCTGCTGCAGCCCGCTTCCCTAACGTCCACCCCACCATCTTCTCTCTCTCCCTCTCTCCTCCCGCAGACGTGGTTCCCCTGCAGCCCGAGGTGAGCAGCTACCGGCGCGGGCGCAAGAAGCGCGTGCCCTACACCAAGGTGCAGCTGAAGGAGCTGGAGAAGGAGTACGCGGCTAGCAAGTTCATCACAAAAGAGAAGCGCCGGCGCATCTCTGCCACCACGAACCTCTCCGAGCGCCAGGTCACCATCTGGTTCCAGAATCGACGGGTTAAAGAGAAGAAGGTGGTCAGCAAATCAAAAGCACCTCACCTCCACTCCACCTGACCGCCCTCCAGGCTGCCCGCCCCATTTATTTATGTCACCGCTTTGTACAATAACCCAATCCACCGAAGGACACCGTGCCGCCCGGTGCCGACTTGAATATTTAATGTTAATCAGGAAAAGGAACTGAGCTGTGAGGCGAGGCACCCCTGCGACGCATCCCACCTCTACCAAGAGGTGCACGGAGAGAGCCACCCATGCCTCAGAGGCTCCGGAGGTGGGTCGGAGCGCCTGTGCGAGGCACTACTACGCCGTTTCTCCCACGTCGTCCATTCACTCCACTGAAAGCCGGAGAGCCAGTAGCAGATGAGAGCCCAACCGTTGCACCAGAAGCAGGGCTAGGTGGGGGGACCCCCTCTTTGCCTCCTTCTAGGGTGTGGCTCCTCAAGACCCTCGAGCTGACGCACTAACCATGCAGGTCCTCTCTCATCCCAGTCTGTTCCGCACTTCTTAGCACGATTTCCCATTCTGATTTTTCTGTGCATATTTTGAGAGTTTCATTGAGATGGATGATCCTTAGCAGGTGGTCTGGGAGCAGTGCTCCGAGCCCGCTGGGTAGGTTTTCTTTCTTTGTGGGCCTAGGTCCACAGGAGCTTTTGCCCTTTCATTCCAACCAACACAGGGGATTTCTCAACAGCTGCCCTGGCCCCCTTACACTGCCGCCCCTATTTCCGCCTCCTGAGGGAGGTCTGAATCTTTGAGGGGAAAAATCTAAGGAGGACAAAAAACCCTGATGGCCCCTAGGCAGGGGTCCCTCCTCCCTGGCGATGAGCTGGCAGGGAAAGTCAGGCACAACCGCAGAACTTCTTCCTGGGAACAAACTTCTCTTCCAGAGGGATGGAGAATGGGTTCCCCCAGTAGAGTCCCTCTCTGCCTTGCTGGTACAGGCCACCGCTAGGCCTCCCAGTTTCGCTTTGATTCACCCAGGAAAGCTAGAGGAGCTAGTCCAGGAGGCCAGCACAACCGGCATGCCATCAACCGATTCAGTAAAGCTGCTGCCTCCCCAAGGCCACCTCAATGCCTGCCCTGCCTGCCAAGGGGAGAGGGTCCTGCACCTGTTCCCTTCCCACTGGCACATTACGAAACAGTGTTCTTTGGAAACGTCCATCAGAAACAGGCTCTTCTTTTTTAACAACAACAAAAAATGTTGTGTATCTGTATATAGTATTGTGATGTCTGACTGAAAACATACTGAATGCAAAAAGAAAAAAAAAAACACCTGCAAACCTGTTTTTAAAATAAAATATCTTTTTTTTTTTGGCCTTGATTTTATTCTCCAGGTTCCTTGCAAAGCCCTTTCTGCTCCTGGCAGCCAGGATGGCAGGGAGCAGAAGGAAGACTGGGTAGATGCTAAAACCTTACTTTGCCGCACTTGTATTTTTTTGTTGGTGGTAGTGGTGGTGATAGTTTTATTATTATCATCTTTATTATTATTTGAGTTACAGGAGTCAGCTTCACCAAGTAGGTGTGGGGAACTCTTTCCTTCCAATACCCAGTTTAGATGTGAGTCTGTTGAGGGAGGGAAGCTGCATCGGCCTGGAGTCCAGGTGAGTGAGACAAGTCCACTGCTTGCCACTACAGCTGACTGGGCTCCAATGATCTGTCGCTGGACAGCAGCCAGGTAGGGTGTTGGGAGCTGACCTGATGTTGCTGAAGCCCTAACTGTCCCCAGGGTCCCAGATCCCTTCTGCCAGGCTGGGGTTGTTTGGGGTTGGTGTGGTGTCTGTCCAGCCTGCTCAACCATTGCTGAGAGAACTCTTTTCTTCCCATTAGCCTAAGCGGAGAGGTGGGGCTTCTGGCAGCCCCAGCCCCCCGCCCCCCCCCTCCCGTTTGCCAATCCAATCCCACTTTTACTCTCTAGCATCCCTGAGGAACCCCAGTTTTCCAGGCTCTCCTGAGCCCCATGCAGACACTGCCACAAATTTGTTTTCCTTGTCACGTCTGTGCCTATCTCCTTATCTGGCACAGTTAATGAGATCGTTAAGTTGTCAGGTTAACAGACTTTTAAAAAGCAATATAACCTAAAACAATGTTATCACAGATTAAATCTTTACTGCAGCAATTTTTATTTATATATAATATCTTTTCCTCTCTGAGACCCAGAAAGAGTGGAGAGGCATAGGTTGGAAGTCGGAGTTCTCCATCTTCCTTTTATTTGATGGAACTGAACCTTCTCAGATTTGATTTCAGTCCATGTTTCTGGGGACACACATGTGCACGTACGCACACACACACACAGCCTAAGAGCAAAGCGCCTGAAGAAGCAGTTTTGGTGGAAGCACTGCCTCCCATCCTGTTCTCCCTGGGATTGGCTCACTGAGCTGGGCAGTGAGGTTTAAAAGGGAGTTCAGGAATCCTTCCAGTAACAAGGTTCATTCTCAATGCCCTATCCATTTTCTGTCCCCTTCTACCAAACTGTCTCTCCCCATAGCCCCTGAAATAGAAAGAATTGGACAATCTCTCTCTCCCTCTCCCTCTGTGTGTGTGTGTGTGTGTGTGTGTGTGGTCAGAAAGAGAAACTAAATGGGCATGAGCCTGAGGCTCTCTGGGCATGCCCCCTGCCCAGCCTCGTGAGTTCTTTTGGAAAATCTAATGTCAAAGCTACACTACACACACACACACACACACACACACACACACACACACACACGATGCATGCATGCTGGAGACTCAGTAGTGCTCAAGAAGTTCAGAGGTCTCCAAGGGATCGCTCCACTTCCACACCAAAATCCCACACACAATCAAATGAAGGAGTCTTTGCTATACAGAGGAAACCTTCCTATCCCCACCCCACCCCACCCCCCAAAATTGAAGGACAAGAGAAGAAGAAACCTCAAGCAAGCAATGTGGGATATGGGAGCATCCCACTCAGGAATGAGGTTACCCCAGCCAGGACTGCAGCTGCTCTAGGGCCGGGCTTTCTAGGACCCTCTTGGGTGCTGTCGTTCGGTGGGGATGATCATGCCTGGGTTAACTTGGTGGCTGGGTCTCCTGGAAGAGCAGATAAGTGTGGTATGAATGCACATTCTGGGGAGCTAGGCTTAGGGAAGGACTTTTCCCGGCTATGCTAAGCCTCCAAAGTAGGCAGTGGCGTTGGGGGACTCAGTCAGGAGGATCTTGGAAGAAACACACGTGTGTGCATGTGTGTGTGTGTGTTCCCGCCCTGCCAATATGGATCCAAATGTGTCAGTGAACGCCGCCACCCACCACCCTCACCTCGGGCTGCAGAGTGTATTTTTCCTCATTACTCACAGCTACGCAAACTGCTTTTGTTTCAGGGCAGTCTCACAGAGTTTGTGCTTGAGTCAGGCTGTGAACGCAAACACTGAGAGTACAGGGAATAGAAAGGTGAGAGGGGCTGTGTACACGGGGAAGGAGGCTCCTCCTTTCTATAGCTCGAAGACACCCCCCCTCCCACCTGCATGGGTGGGCAGCAGGAGGCTCTTCGCTTAGGCTCCCAGGGAGGGTTCTGTTAGATTCTTTCCTCTGGAGCTTGGGATCGAGTGGGCAGAGGAGGGCAGCCTGTCTCCAGACTAGGGCCAAAAGGATTTTTTTTCCCAAGATTTATTTATTTTTATTAGAAAGGTAGAGAAGGAAAGACAGACAGATCTTCCATCTGCTGGTTCAATCTGCAAATGACACAATGGCCAGAGCTGAACTGATCCAGGAACCAAAACAAGGACTAGGAGTTTCTTCTGGGTCTCCCATGTGGGTAGAGAGTCCCAAAGCTTTGTGTCATCCTCCATTGCTCTCTCAGGCTACAAACAGGAGCCAGACAAGAACCAGCATCCACATTGGGATTCTGGTGCTTGCAAGGTGAGGATTGAACGATCTCCCAGCCTAGGATTTTTTTTTTTTTTCCAAGCCAGGACATTTAGCAACAGACACGCACCTGAAGGAACTAGGCCAGTCATTCTCTCTGCAGGTCTGCTCCTGAGGGTTTGACCATAGATGGCGAAGGAGGGGAGTGTGTGCAGATGAGAGAGGGGCAGCACGTCCTTGGGGCTTTGGGGTGGAGGGGGGATGCAGTGCAAAAGCAAGTCCCTGGGGTAGCCCTGCCCACACAGCTCCCTCTGTTACTGCATTCTGTTCCAAGGAGATCTCCTCACCTTAAGACCAGAGTCCTCCCATAAGACAACACCAAAGCTGACTGGGACAGATGTATCTCCAGGCCTGTGAGGGTGGAGGAGCGATGGGGCCCTGGAGATCCAGGGGCTTCTGGGAGGGGGAGGAGGAGAAGGGAGAGGAGGAGGAGGCCGCCCGCCCAAGCCTTTTAGCAACCAACCAGGCGCTTCCTCTTTTAGCCTTGACCGTGACTAGGTCTTTCTGACCTTGACATCATCAGGAACGCAGGGAAGGGTGGGGGGTAGTGGAAAAGGCCTTGATCTTCGGGGGACCAAGGTGGGGGAGGAAGGCCGCTAGCCCCCTTAGACGCGCCAATCCCCCTTTCAGCCGGTCGCCTCTGTTTATGCACTGAGGAGGTGTCGTCTCCAGTCTAGACAGGGGCGCTAATAACACCCATAAAAGGCGGCCTCTCCGGAGATGCTCCAGCAGCCCAGCTCCTGCGTGCCGCCGCCACTATAGGCCTCTCCCACCACTTCGCGCGCCCCACCCTCCTGGGCGGCCAAGGCTGGAACTGTGGGGGGCCTTGAGGAGCGTCCCCCTCCCCGGAAGATGTCTAAAGGCGGAGAACTTCTGCCACCCCCACACTTCGACGCCTTCGGTCTCCAAAGGTGAGTAGATGCCAACTCTCTCCGCCCAGCCATCCTTGCGGGGTGAACCTCCCCCACCCGGGGTCGGCTGCTCACACCCCAATCTGCTTGCGGCCCGTGACACCCCCACCCCGGGGCCCCCCCAGCCGACTCCAACGCTTCTCCGGGGCGAGCTGAGCGGTGCTGCGGCCAGCAGACAACAAGGTCACGGCCAGAGAAGATGGGGCCGAGGGGCGCGGGTAATGCTCACCCCCAGGCGGCTTGGACGACGTGGAGGACAGGCCTGGGGCT